TCTGACTTAATAGAAGGCAGCTGAATTTTCATAACTGCTTCTGCATTAGCTCTTTAGCAAACTAATATGTCGCCTCAGGAAATCTCCTGCGTACCTATGAGAGAAAGGGAGCAATAACATCTCAGTGTTATTATGAAAACAGTTTTGATCTCATGGGACCCCCCGAAAAGGCTTTGGATGTCTTGGTAAACTTGCTCTCCAAAAGACAAACAACACACTGATTGTAAAAGTGTCGATTTCCGTGGTGTGACCACTCCCACTGTGGCCAATGTCAAGCTACCAGCTTGACTCCACTAGTAATGGGGCTGGAGAGAGACAATCCATGCAAGCAGCCATAAGCTGGCTGCAGTGCCCCAGCATTTATGAAGCACACTTTAGAACCACTGACACAGAATAGATCTGGTAGGACACACAAGAAAAGTAGCATGGTTGCCTCCAAGACTGGAGAACAGTAGATTTTTTAACCAAATATCCTTTTATACCTTTTGAATTTTGTTTCATAGTCAAAAAGAAAAAAGAAAAGATTTTAAGTATCTTCCCTTAAAGCAAACCCTAAAAATATAAGTTGATCTATAACTGTACGTCTTTCTAGCTTTTACATTTCTTTGTGGCATCCCTTAGAATTGGTTCTAAGCACCAGTGAATGGTTCTCACATCTCTGTCTCCCCGTGTCTTTCTTCACAGACTTTTTTCAGCATCCCTTCCTGCCCCTATCCAGGTGCACGCTGATATTTGGGGTTCATTCCAATTTAGCCTTATTTCAGCACGAGGCACAGAGACAGTTCCACCAATTATTGAATTTATGCAATCAATTTAAGCAACTTAGCCTTTATAATTTGATATTTGAGTGGCTAAAGCATCTTATTTGTGAACCTTTGGGATTACCCTCCCTTTTGTGCTTTTTTGTAAACTGAAGGCTTTTCTAATGACATTCTGATCTTCTCTCAGCCACAAACAGAATTACACCCATGCATGGAAAATCGAATATTGTCCATCTCACTCTGTGCAGAAGGATAGAGATTAGGAGGCATTTTTAATAAAATTATGTATGCTCCTAAAAGCTCAGCAATGTTGAAAACCTTTCTGTACCAATGACAGTCACTTTGCTTGAGGCTTCCTAAGCTCTTTGGTTTAAAAAGAAAGAGCATTTTACTTAATAGATTAACCACTAGAGATGAGTCCTGTTTGAGAGTTCCCACTTATATATAGGTCATTGATGTCTTAGAACCTGTGGTGTTTTAACTAGAGGCAGCAGCAGACCACACAGATCTCGTCGACACATGTCCTCTTCATTCATTTAATTATTTTCCCTCGGGTTTGATCAGGGGGTTTTGAGGGACATGAAATAGCCACCTCTTGAGGAGAAAGCTTATTTTCAGGGAGATGAGGATGGATAGTTAGACTGACTCACAATTTGAGATTTGTGGTGAGAGGAATAAGAAGGCTTTGAAAAGGAGAGAATGTTAAAATGAGAAATTCTACAAAGTCCAGCAGGCAAAGGAGATTGCAGTCCTAGCAGCCTGGGTGGGTGGAAGCTGTGGTTGTTGGTAGCTCCTACATAACCTATAGTTAAGTAACCGAAGGAATTTCAGTGGTATGCTTGGCATCCAGACACTTAGTATCCACCCAGGATGAGCAACCCTGTGACCTTCATCTGTCAGATGACCAGGAAATGGAGATAGCAAACGCGATACCCATCCCCTTTCTACCCAGCCCTGATGTCGTCGATGTGCCATCTCTACGTCAGCTCAGGATGCCTGGAAGTGACCCACACATCCCTCTTGTAGAAACTTTGTACTGTGGGGTGGAGTCTATTTATAAGCACAGAGCAGACTGGTTTTCCAGGTAGCTACCTGGAGACAAAGGGAGATTTGGATGCCCTAGCTGCTGTTGAACCGAGAAATCCAAGGCTGGAAATTGGCTCCAATGTTCAAAAGAAGAATGAGGATTTTCTTCATATTTCCTCTCGATTGCTGTACACACAGACTTGGTTTGAACCCTAGTTCTGTCACTTAACAGCTATGTGACACTGGGCAAGTTACCTACCCTCTGTTCCCCTTTCCTCCCCTTTCAATATTCAAATATTTTATTTCCATAAAATGATATTATAAAAATATTTTTCCAGCTTTATTGAGGCGTAGTTGACAAGTAAAAATTGTACATATTGTACACAGGTATATGCCCACAGTTTCCTTATTAGTAAAACTGGGATTAAAATAGCTCAAGGTGAGATGGAGGCATACACAAAGTGACCAGCTGGCACCTGGCATGGAATTCATGGGCTGCAGATGTTCATGAGGACCCTCACCTTATTCCCTACCACACAAGCCAGATGCACTTGTGGATTTTCCAGGCCTTGCAAGTGGGAAATTTATCAGCTTTCCAAAGAGGATGGCTTCTTTTTTGGCTGGGAAGACAGGGCCCACTGTACTATGTTCTGGGTTATTTCTGTGTTAATCTAGCATCTGTCACTGGTCTATAAATGAACATGGAGATGTTTTCCAAAGCAGGTGTACTCAGGGCATCCTGAATGCCCAGGAAGCCAGCTGCCCCTTCCTCTCCCCTCCCTCCCACTGTGAGCCTTCCCAGCTCCCCGTCTGCCCTTCCTCGCATCAAAGGTGGCTCAGGTGTGTGCTCCTCCATCATTTTCTGACGGGAGAACCACCGGATCTAAGAATTCAGGTGCTAAATTGTCTGCTATATTGTCACATGGTGGTGGTTCAGAAAATACCCTTCCTGCTCACTGAGTCACATCCCCACAGAGACCACACCCAGCCAGCCCTTGACTCCAGGCCTCATGTGGTCAGCCTCAGTGAGCTCTACACTGCTCCTGAGAGAAATGTGGGTCAGAAGATGAAATATTAGATGGCCATACCATCCTCGCTCAGCACAGTGGTTCTGTCTGCTGTGTTTTTTTCATCGACTGCTGTTTTCTTTTCTTCTAGGATTCACTCGTCTTTTAAATATTTTCTGCTTAGCCAGAGTCGTCGTGGTTTTCTTTCATCATGACCCTTTCTCCCCTCAAATAAACCATCCACCATGTCCTCCCTTCCCCATCTTTTCTCTCCAGAATGTGTTTTGTACACGGCACCCTCTCCACCAGCCCTTTTCTCATGCTCCCCATCTGTTCTGCTGCTTCTCACCTCTGCCCTGCATTTGAGGGAATGGGTTCTGTGACTGTGTGGCAGGTTTCCAAGGGCAGTTACCACACTCAGGCCTCCGGGCCTTGGGGTGAACTCAGGGCCCCCTGAGTGGGCTGGGCATTAGGAGGCCTGGATTTCTGCCTGATGTTGGTCACCCTGCCCCACCACCGTGCTTCCCCCCAAAGACACCCAGGTCTGGTGATGTTATCAAACATGAAGGTTATTTGCCCAGCATATGATGAAATTGTGTTTTCTAGAATTCGCTTCTGGTAAAAATAATTCCTGGACTTTTGAAGTTGACCTCTCGTTTATTTCCCCTCAATATCACCTTGTGTGTTATGTTTTTCAGATAGGAGATAATTTGGTCAGTAGGAATTATTTTTAGTGTAATTTCAGTTTCAGATAAATCTTATTTTTTTATTCATTCCTCTGAAAATTAGTAATACAGGGATGAAAAGAACTGTGCCTGTCATAATGTTATTGTGATACACTAAAAATAGTGCATCACGTCATAAGCACTATGAAATGTTGCTAGCGTTAGTGAATTTTGAAGTTATCTTTTGCAGAGACCACCTAGACACTTCCTTTCTCTCACCCCACTCCCCAGTGCTCCATTCAGCCATCAAAACAGGACCACACACCCTTCCACGGGTACTTGGTGAATGGTTTATTGAACTTTGTAGATGGCATCTCTCTTTTTTTTATAGAAATTTTTTGAGATGCTCCTTAGTTCTGCTCTCCTGATCCTTAACCAAAATGGCACTCGGTCTTTGCAGTCCGTTTAACCAGTTGTGGGAACCACAGCTCCTCTTATGTCAGTAGTAAAGGCTGTCACATATGTCCTTTTCCAATGTTACTACCTCATTTGTACCATACACTGTTTATGGACATGCTGTTACATAATTTGGGGAATCTCAAAGACTTAATAGTGCTTTTAATCATGGTGTCCATTCCATTCTGGCTGGGGCAGTGGAGGTGAGGAGCTATCTCTGCCCCGGACCCTGAAACCCATACACGGTACCTTCCATCCCGCCCGCCTCATTCCCTCATCAATAAAAAGAAGGGTTTAGACCAGATCGTGTGGAGCTTGAGAGTTTGAAAAACCCACAGTGCCTTTTTCCCTGAAAGAGAAAGTTGTTTCTGAAGGAAGGGCTAGACCAGTGCTATCCAATAAAAATATAATGCAAGCCACATGTGTAATTTAAAAATTTCTAGTAGCCACATTAAAAAAAAAAAAAGTGAAATTACTTTTAATAAAGTAATTTATTTAGCCCAATAAATCCAAAATATTGTTTCAACATGTAATCAACATAAAAAACTAACAAGATATTTTACATTCTTTTTTGCTATGCTAAGTCTTTGAAATGCAGAGTTGTGTTTTATACTTAGAGCATGTCTCCATGTGAACTAGCCGCATTTCCAGTCCTCAGTAGCTACGTGACTATGGCTTCCATCATGGAAAGCACAGGTCTCGTCGGAGCACCTGGAGTCCTGAGACCTCAGCTCAGGTCCACAAGATCCACAGCTTCTGTCCTTGGTCAGCCTTTCCATTTTTGTGGCTGGAATTTATAAAGCAGGGGCTAACAGATCAATCAACCAATGGCGCTTTACAAAAGACTTGATTATCTTCTCAAATAAAGTTCTCCCTGCTCTGCAAGTGGCTCTTGGTTGAAGCTTTAAGACACATTCTGGCCACATAAAGTCTTGGAGAAGCACTCCCAGCAGGTGCACAAAAGGCCTGGCTGCTTTGAGCAGTGCAAACAAGAATTAGAGGGTACGATTTTCTGTGATGTTGCAGAGCAGTGTTGGCTTAACCTTCTATTACTCAGCCAGGGTTGGGAGGGAAAGGGAATTTCTCATGGGTAGGGAAAACTAAATAAATCAAGCAGTAAAGTCAGACTTTGTCTTTGTCTTTTCATTTAGTGGAATAGAAGATGAACTCAGCTGAATTCAGTGAAGATGAAGAAGGTAAAAAAAAACCTTAATTAAAAAATATTTTTATTGGGTCATACATTCAAAAATATAAAAAGATACAAAATGAAAAATCAAGGAAAAGTCTCGCATCCCTGGTTCCCATCCCCCTCCACCCACACACCTGTTATAAGTATCTTACTATCTTCCCAGAGTTACTTTTTTGAAAGCATCATTAAAAAGATAGTATTTGTTTCTCTCCCCGTCTTCTTCCCCCCTCCTCCAACAAGTTTTGAACAAAATGTTCTTGGAACATGGTTTTATTGTATCGCACTAGTGTAGTAAGATAAAAATTGCTTGCTTGGAAGGCACAGTTTTATTGTGACTAGATTTTATTATCTGAGTGGTAGTGTCAAAGGGCGGTCCACAAACAACCTGTCCTCGGGAAACCCGGAGGATCTTTGAGTGGCCCACTGAGCCCTATCTCTTCTCTGCCACAGTTCTAAAAAATAACACTGTGAAGGTGGAGACAGAAGCTGAAGATGCTGCCCTGGACTGCTCAGTGAATTCCAGGTCTTCGGAGAAGCACCCTCTGGACAGCGTCTTCACGGCCCTCCAGGACTGCAGCAAGCGAAAGCAGCCAGCTGGCGGTGAGGGCCAGCCAGACTCTGTCCCCAACGTGAAGAGGCGGCGGCTGATTCCCGAGGTGAGGGCCCAGCCCCTTCAGTGCCTGCTTGGGCTCTAACCCTCTGATGGGACACTGAATCTCTGCTCATGGGGATCTGGGAAACTCCTAAGCCTCTGGGGATGAGAAAGCTTTCATTTCAGCTGTCTCCTCTCTGACTTGAGTATCTAGAGAGTGTCCTTAACTGGTATCTTGTCTATGTCTGGATTCATTATGGGGCAAGGGGAGTCTTCACAAGCATCTGCTCTATGGGGAAAGCAAGCACTTGTTGACAGCAAACCTATATTTTACGTAGTACACACAACATAGACTCCTGGAAAAGTGGAGGATCGTCTTTTATGTTGATTAGGGAAGCTCGTTTACTAAAGAAACACTTCAGTGAATCTTTTTGTAAGGTGGAAAATTTTATATCATACCTGTCACCCCTAAGTTATCTATTTTATGAGTTTGATTTATTCCTTAGTTACCTTCTGGTTATATTGAACTGTGCTAAATTCTGGAACTGATGTGGTGACCCCCTCTAGCAGCCTGTTTTCCATATGGGTGATAAGACATGTATGCAAAACAGTGAAGACTGAGGAGAGAGGAGTGGTTTTGGGAGATGAGCTATCTGGCCTAGAATGCCTCTGCAGTGAGCCTCCCCGTGGACCAGCAGATTACATATTAAACTCTTAGACCATCCCTACTCCCATTCTCCCTCTTTCTCTCAAGGACCCAGATAGGCATTTCAACTTATGCATGTCTGTTTAAAAGAGCCCCCCACATTCAAGGCTTATTATCATTAGCCAGGATACCATGGCATATCAGCCTGAGACTCTTTGGGTTATTATTGGTTTGTTTTAATTCTCCCCTTTTAGACGCTAGGACCTATTCAAATACATTGAGAATTTGTGGATTTTAGAGACTTAGTGAGTCTTCAGTAAGTAAAAACTGCCCTTTAATTAGCAAAATGACAAAGTTAAGATTTTCACCAGGGTATAGATATACACGTTTATATTACATTATAGTGAGGACTGACCTGCATTCCACATCATGGAACATTGAGTGTACCCTTATTTATTTATTTGGGTTTTTTTTTTCCCTTTCCAATGGCTTTATTGACATATAATTCATGGACTATACAATTCACCGATTTAAATTATATAATTCAGTGGTTTTCATATATTCAGAGTTGTGCAATCATCACAATAGATTTTAGAACATTTTTATCACCCCACAGAAATCCTGTACTCATTAGCAGTCACTCCCCATTTCCCCCTCCTTTAGCTCCTGGCAATCACTAATCTACTTTCTGTCTCTGAATTTGCCCATTCTGAACATTTCTTACAGTTAGAACTATAGATTATATGGCCTTTTGTATCTGGTTTCTTGCACTTAGCATAATGTTTTCAAGGTTCATCCATGCTGTCACATGTATTAGTACTTCGTTCCTTTTTATGGCCAGATAATGTTCCATTGTTTGAACGTACCATATTTTGTTGATCCATTTATCAGTTGGTGGACCTTTGGGTTGCTTCCACTTTTTGATTATTATGAGTAATACCAGGACAATACATTTTTAAAAATCTGTAATGCCCAGAAAGTTAGTTGAATTTTTTTTTATGTCTACATGAGCATTTTTTATAAAGGATTGATTAGAAATATCCCACCCTTGATTCTGGCTGCCTTAACCAGCCACCTGCTGCATACCTTGTGACTCTGGGGAAAGTTACGTGTGTGAATGGCAGTTTCTAGTGCAGCAAGTAGTGTCTACAGATTAAATCTCAAATTCTTGACTGTTGAGATACCTGCTGTGGTAAATGAAAGCTACAAGATGGTCAGTTAAATAGCTTCTTTGAAAAACATTTAACTTCGCTTTTTCTTATGTTTACTTTAAATCATAATTTATTATCCTTTTCCTTAATGATTGTTATTTAGATATTTCCCACTTTTATATGATTACAAATAGTGCTGCAGGGACCATCCATATGCACAAACCTCGTGACCCTCTGTGAGTGGTTCTATGAGTTAGATTCCTAGAGGTTACTCTGAAAGTGTTGAGAAGTTTGAGAAGCACTGTTCCTGAAGTCCCGAAACTATTTTCTTCTTGTTTCATATGCTTATGATCAATCCTATAAACTGCTTCAAGTTTGCAAGTAAAGCCAGAGTTCAAGAAGTAGAACACAAAGTTGAGTGTATTAATTCACTTTTGCCGTGTGACAGTCCTCTTCCCCCACCCCCCCACACAAAAAAATTAGCGTCTTAAAACAGCCACTGTTTTATTCATTCACAGTTTTATGACCCAGCTGGTGGTTCTTCTGATTTGGCCTGACATGGTTAGGGCTAGTTAGTCTGAGATGACCTCACTCGCAGATGTGGGGCCTTCCCTGGGCTGGTGCAGATGACTGCAGTTTCCCTTTATGTACTTTCTCACTCTCTAGGAGGCTAGTCCAAGCTTGTTCACATGACATGGAAGAGTTCTTGGGAGCAAGAGAGGGCCAGCTCTGTGCAAACACTTTTTAAGCCTCTGTTTGTGTCACATTTGCTAATGGCCCAATGGTCAAAGCAAGTCATATGGCCAAACCTAGACCCAAGGGGTAGAAAAATAGACTCTATCTCTGATGTTAAGAGCAACAAAGTCACATTTCCAAGAGGCTTTCACACAGGATGGGGGAACTAGTATGGTTGTTTTTAATAAACAATTCGCCACAATAAGAAACAACAAACTCTTGCATCAAGAAGGAATTCTGACCATAGCCCGGATTGTGGCCTTTGTGGATGGCCCAAGGTGGCTCTGTGCCTCATTGCACAAATGGTGTCACTATTTATCTCTTCATTCAATATAGTTTTGTTGTCACAGCATCATAGAGAAGGTAGTATCTTCATATTCTTGGGAGCAAAAAGAGAAGGAGAAGGTTCTTATGATTTATGTTTTAGTTGAATCCTTCAGTATGTGAAGTAAGTCGGAAAAGGTCTGGCACTGGGCTAGAACTCCGCTGCGGCTTCATGGTGAAGGGATGGCCCACACATCACGTGAACAATGCGATAGCGTCGAGTGCTCCTCTTGATCTGGCAAGGCAGCCTGCCTCATCTGCCGAAGCATCAGGCATCGTCCAGGAATTCTGACGTGCAGAGAAGAGGGGACCAAAATGTATTTGAATATTTCTAATATGACCAATCTAATTTATGTATTCTAATTGGTCATGTATGTTTACTTTTCAGTGAATTAGATACAGTTCTAACCCATTAGATTTTGAAAAGAAAAAGACATGTTTAGTCCTGGATTTTATTTTGGGTGTTTTTCAGCTTTGCTCATTTTCCTTAGTGTATATGAAGTGAGGTTGATATCCCTGTACCCCTTCCTGTTCTTTAAAGAAAAAAACGTATATAAATATAATCCTTTTAAAATTTGCGAGCTCCCTGTAGAAAGGTATCATGTGATTTCAAGGCAGTATTTCCTTTTAAAGTTTGGATAAGTTGATGTGTCAGTAAATCAATAGCTTCAGAATCTTGGGGACTTCAGAACAATCTATCAGTTTTATGAAATTATGGTATATGTTGATTTTTCAAAATGGTACTAGTCCTAATTCGGATTGAATAGTTCTTTATCTTTCCCTCCCTGAATTTTCTCCGATCCTTCTTACATATGTGGTGGCGGGGGTGGAAGTGGAGGTGGGGAGAATATGCAGCTTTCTTAGGCGCTTTCATCACAGGGTGAGACCGGAGGAACCGGGAAGGTAAAACGAGCAACAATCAAAAAAGAGAGAAAGGAAATGCGTTGACAGTTATTGAGTGCCTACTTCACAAAGAGCACCATCCCTTATTTCTTTTAATCCATATGAGAAACCAATGATGAGAGAATTAATATCTTCATCAGATAGACAAGCAAACTTAGGCATTTAAGTTAAAATAAACTGCCAGGATGCCAGTGAGGCAGCCTTGTGCTTGGTGAGAGGTGTCAGGAATGATTGGGGCACTCAGCTCTCTGCTCCCTGTCCAGGCAAGTGAACCCCATCTTCTCTGATCCAGCTCATAGGAATAGTAAATACCAGAATGAGCTGAGACTGGAGTCAGATAACGGGGGAGTTCACCATGGCACCTTCAGCCAGTCACATGCCCTCTCAGACTCTCAGGTTCCTTCACAGTGAGGAGGGATGGTACTGCTCACCTTCTCGGTTTCCTGTGTGGATCACTGAGATGCCCATGTAAGGAGCCCAGCACAGGGCCTGCCCCATGTCAGCCTTCAGAAATGTTTACTTACTGCCCTCAGCCTTCATCTCCAACTTGCACCCTTTGCGGTCACTATTCAGCTGCCTCCCTCCACATTTGTCAGAAAAAAAAATGGCATGGAATTACCAAGGGAAGTGTCTGATGCCCTCTAGGACACCCCAGGCCTGAGCACTGCTGTTATAAACACCATTCAAGTCAGAACATAAACCACCTTCTGTCTTCCCCCAACACCAAGGGAAGGGGGATCTGAGTGATAGCCTTCATGTTAAAGGTTCAGACTCGTGTCAGTGCTGAAGACTTATTTATGAGTGATATTTGGTACAACACTAAGAAGAAGAAAAAACCTCCCTCAAAAAAAAAAACTAACAAAAGGCTGTATAAAGGCTATTTGGCGCCTGCTCTGGAAAAGCCTTTATAGCCAAACACAGCAGATGTGGAAGGTGAGTAGCCAACACTTTTATTGGTAATCATCTTTTTGTGCACGGAAGTGGGGAAAGTATTCGAGAGCTGTATGACAGGCAGAAGTTAGCTTTGTTCTCCTGGGGGCGGGGTGGTTCTAAGTTTATTTTTAATCCTAAAATGGCATTGTGGTTTCTTTTTAGTTGGAGCATGGAAATGCCATCTTGTTCATTTGGTGCAGATGTACTGAATACCTCCTAAGTGTCAGTTACTGTGGTACAAGGTGGAGAGTCGTAATAGTTTGCACAGCAGCCATAGCAAATAGGTACTATGGCCATTCCCATTTTCATGAGGTTCTTGAAGTCAGCTGTGCCGGGCCCTCCTCCATTTGGAACTGTGCACTTAGATACCAC